GATGCAATCTGCGCTTAGACGCAAACTGCACTTAGATACAAACTGTGAATCAGCTTTTGCATCATAATAGTTTCTATCGAACGAACGTAGCTTTCAGTTTTAATCGCTGTAAAATTTCCGCTGCACTAATTCACCCCCCCCTCTTAGTGCTCTCGATCCTAACAGGATGAGCCTGCTCCATCAGAATGAGGGACCTATGGAACAACATGATCCTGCTCTTACCTCTATAAGAGTTTATATCTTTGACCTATGTCCAAGGAAAGCTCTGTGCCTCCGCTCCATATTTCATCTTCTATATTGGCTCCGTTTATGCGGCTTGGGTACTTCGCCAAGTTACACCCAAGTTGCTCCGCTCCTCTGTTTGCATCGAGTTGATGGTGGTCCTCGCGCCCACCATTCCACGGGTCAATCCTCCCTTGAGTCTGATCTCCATATCAACTCCAAGTGTGCATTCATTTGTGTTGCTTTGGGTCGCTTCCCCACTTGATCTCACAATGCATCCATCAATGCATTCTCTAAAGCGAGATCATGCGATGACTCCTCGTCGCTCACTCGGCCCATTGAGCTTCGTGAAGTTATTATTTTTGAGGTACTCCTCCTCAACTTGTGCAGTCTGTTGCATGTGATTCTCCCTCTAGAGAGCCGGGACTTATCCCTCTTGGGTATCTATCCCATTGGAGCAACATCTCTCTTCATTTCCTTCCCTCTGAAAGCTTCGGAGACCACCATCCCCTTGGACTATTCCGACTTGCTGAAATAACTATGCATTGTTCTGCCTCATGTAAACGCACTTACTAGATTATGACTCTATATCAATACAATCCTCGTTGCACCACTCAAGGTCTAGTAACATGCTGAACTCGCTACACACTTCAGCCTCCTACGGACGTAACCTTCTCATGCTGAAGAGAAAGTTTCAATGCTCCATAGCGCCAGGTTTCGGTCGCTTTGGGATGGCCGAGAACATTCCATCGTCCGCATACAAGCCCTTACATGAGTACTGAATTCTTCGAGTTAGCAATTCCCCTCACCTCTATGAGCTTTGTATAACTCTTTCGGTCGTTGTGCAACCCATTCCACCTTGCATGATCTCATCCTTTACCAAGCACCTCGCTTGCCTTGAGCACCATCAATTATAATTGTCAACGTGGAGCCATAGCTCGAACTCAGCTATCCCAACCTTTGTGCGCTATGCATTCTTCCAATCTTGCTTGTTCTTATGGTGCCTCTTGCGCGAAGGGTTGGCCATTCCTCTGAATGCCAATCTCAGATGCTCGCTCCTTCAAGCGACTCCTTTTCCCTACATCTCTATGCCTGTTTTCCCCTAAATGGTCGCACATGCTGACTAGCCTCAACGCAGCCCAACTAGGTCCCCCATGTTTGTATGCCAAGTGTTTCTATGACTGCTTGTCCTGCTCTGATACCATCTATCATGGACTTGGTTTTGCCTAAGTCATGTGGCACCCTTGCATGTCCCGTCCGCAAAGGTCAACCTCCCTGAAACCTCTCATGGTCCCTTAGGACCTAGAAAAGGGAAAACGAGTTAAAGAAAACGCCTCACTCGGGATCCACAAGCAAATATTTCTGAATACACTTCATATAGCCAATGTAAATTATAAACACACTTTAATGGTTATACAAAAAAGAGTCAAAATGATCCACTACATACTGAATATCTCTCACAAGTATCCACATGATATAACCTTTATTTACAAGCCTAAAACGACCACCAAACCCAACTAAAATGGGGCTGTTAAGCCTTCAACCATCCCTCTACATGTTGTGCAAAGCATGAACAAATCAAGAGACACAGACATATGTAAGCATTACATCAAACATCATGTTTAGAATTTTATCCATGATAATACGTCGGGCACAAGAAGTTCATCATACCGAACAAGCAGTAGATGCTCCGCCACTTCATGAATGCCTCCTTGCTGCAATCGGAAGTCAACCGGATTACCTTTTTTTACCCATCAAACCGATAAAAATTAATCATTAAAAAGTTTTAATTTGGGTAAAATAAAAAAAGAGATATTAAAATTATCTTTTTTTACTTATTGATTTGACATCAATCCAACACATATTATGTTATTTTTTATGGCAACAATAATTTTAGAAAAAAATAAAACGATTGTTTCACTTCTCATAAAAATTATACCGTTAAAAGGGTCCAAATGCATAGGATAATATATAATTAAAATGAATATGTAATTAACCGCAGATATAGAATAATACTAAAAGCACATACTATGAATTTTTATATTTCCATCCTTATCCTCGCCCATCAAATGTCTTTCGGTAACCGCTTAGCTTAAACGGAATCCACGTCTTAGATATGGTCCAAGGTGTTACATTGCCCCTTCCTGCTCCGTCTCATTCTGGGGGTATTTAGCCGCAAGAAACGTGTAGCGAGCACATCTTAACGGACGTTACAGTGGGCTCCTACCGTCGAGGTTCACTGGTCTCCGCCTCGTCGCCCTCGCTGCGCTCCATAAGCTGCCCGTCGTCGCAAGATAGCAACCGACCTTGTCGTTTCCTTCCCTTTCCTAGGCGACCAAGAAAAGAGGAGACGGTTGCGACCCTGTCCCTAACCCTTACCTCGGTCTCTGTTTCGATGGCGTCGGGTGAATCCTCCGGCCGGGCCGCCGCTTCGGACTCCAACTCGTTCGATTTCGGATCCGATGATGTTCTCTGCCCCTACGGTGACTATGCCGCCCAGGACCCCTCGATCGGGAAGCGATCGAACCTTCCCGGGACGGTATTCTCCTTTCTTGATCTTGTTTCCTCCGTTGATTTGTTGATGCCACGTATTGATGTCCGGACTTGTCGGATTGGTTCGCCAATTTGGTCAGTATTGGAAACAGGACGAGAGTTTTGATGCTTAGAATGGGCATCGTATCCCATTTTCTCTTGTAACATGGGACGCTTACTTACGAACGCCAACCGTAGATGTAATGCAATTGATTGTTCAGAGTAAGGGAGAATTAGGGTTTTCGTTATTATTGCTAATGCTTGTGATCTCTTCTGGTTTGGTTTCAGTTTGATGGTTTGGTTGGGATTGTCTTTACATAGATAGACATTGGTATGACGCTATAATGTGACTACTTTGATATGTTTCCAACCTTGGATGGTTTTCATCGTGTTATGCTCAATTGGTAATCAAGAATAGCCACCTATTGTTGGATCCGGATGGTAACATGCAGATGTGTTGCACCTTCTGCAAGAATGTTCGCTTTCTCAAAAGTTGAGGCATATGATGCACTCATTGTATCCTTTCGCACTTGTAAATGTAAGCCCTGAAGTGTGATTTGTCCTTTATATACATCATAGAATTTGTTAATGTTGTGGTAATCTATGTCTATCGAAAGTCACTTATCCTTATTTTGTTGAATTTACTAGAAAATCTATAACAAGTCCATTAATTATTCATTTGAAAGAACTAGGATTTTAGTCCATGGACCATCACATTTTTATTGCTCTCCATGAGAAATAACTAAGATAGCCCTAATGTAATGTAAACAAGGTAATGCATCGAATCTCAAATTGTTTCTATTACTTGATCTTCATAAAGCAGGATATCCAAGAATGCAGAATGGGGAGATCATTGGTCAGTGCTTATGAGAAAGAAGATTGTTCCAAGTATAGTGTAACATCTTCTGTCGAGAAATGCATGAAAAAATATGCTGATACTCTACTTCAATCGCTTGAGGCTATAAGTGGCCGTTTGTCACAGATGGAGATACATTTCCACAAACTTGAACAATCACTTTGTGAACTACGAGGTGATTTCATTCAGGATCAGAGTGACAAGGATCTGAACTTCAAGTCTCTTGAGAAACATCTCCAAGAAGTAAGTTTAATGCTGATATCACATAAGTGTTTGTGTTTATATAATTTGTTTTCGCGACTCAATTAAAGGAAGATGCTTCATGATAGTACTTTCTGTCCGCTTAGAGTGGCTTGACTTGGGTTCTGCAGATAATCTCCTTTATGGTTATAATAGCAGTAATAGTGATGGCTGGTTATTATTGATTTTATTAAAATTAGATGGTTATGTTTTCTTGGTATCGAGACATTATGGCATAGGCTGATTCAGAAAGAACTCCAGATCGAATGACTAGTTCTTTGTCCTTTTAAGGTTTTGGTCGGATTTAATTGTTTGACATAACCTACGCTTTAATTTTTCCGCTGAGTTCAACGCAATTTGTGCTTGTGTTTCAAACTTGCTATCCTTGTATATCAAATGGACAATGTTATCACTGTATGTGCTGGATGATTAACATTTCCTAGCATCCTCTGAGTGGAATAGTTTGAGAGTGTAACTTGTAGCTGTAGATTGGTTGTCCAAGTAAACATATAATATCAGGTTGTAATCAAGGAGATGGTTTTATCTGAAAATAAATGGCATCCAATCAAATTTATAAGGTAATTGAAACGTCAATGGCTGTTTAGTAGTAACGATAACCATGCTATATAAATCGTCTGATCCTTTTTAACAGTCCACTGGATCTTTTGCACATGAAGTGAAACAGAAGATCATCAACGTTGTAGGATGCTTGGAATGTTGATAAGTAGATTTATGTGGTGTCTGAAGAACCACTATCCATTAATATGTTTTTTTAGTTTATGAATTATTTTTCTGATCTTTAGAAAGCCTAGAAAATAGATGGCTTTTGCACATACGAACTTCTTAAATAATATACATGCATTGTGGATATGATCAGTAAAGGAGAAAGTTGATGATCACTCGAAATAGGCACAGAGCTTTTTTGACAGATAGGATTATAAATGGGTAGCCATATTCATACACATGTAGAGGATGTTTCAACCAACCGATAAAGGTTTATGATGGCAATCATAAATGCTTTGGGTGATGCTTGCCTATGGTCAATGCGGCACCGAAGATGGTCTTTTAGTGGATAAGCTAATGGCCATGCATGTGTACCTCTTTATATTTTTTTATATCTATTCAAATTTCTTGGTGTATATTTCTTTTCTTCATGTTATGGCTAAGAAAGGTACAAAATCTGGCTTGCATGTAAAATTAACTTAGCTATTTACCTCGAAACTGATAGAGTTCAATTTCAAACCATGTGTAAGCAATGATATCATCATGGTACCTACCAGTCATATAAGGTTCATTTTACAATCTACAGATACCTTAAGTTGGAGTCTATTATACAATAATCGCCTTGCACTCTCCACATCAGGTCCACAGGTCTGTTCAAATTATGAGAGACAAGCAAGAGCTCGCTGAAACTCACAAGGAACTGGCCAAGCTTCAAATGGTGCAGAAAGAATCTGTAGAAAAGAAGGAAGAAGTTGTTGCACGATCTGTTTCGGAGCCCAAAAAGCTGGACGATAAGCCAGACGTTGCAAACCAGCAGCTGGCCCTTGCCCTACCTCGACCTGCTACTTCGCCACCGATACTTCCGGATGGAACTTCTCAGTCAATCCAACCGTACAAAGAACTTCCTATGCAGCATCAGCCGCCTATCTCTTATAATATCCAACTGGATCAAATCATAATGAGTCAAGCAGCAAGATACTATCATCATCATCAAACTTTGCCACATAGCCAACCTGTGCAGGCAAGACCTCAGCTTCAGGATGGCCCAGTCCAGGCACCACCACGGCAACCGCTGATAGCCAACCAGAATCGACCTCCATCATTTTCTCAGTACCAGCAGCAATTGCCTTCACAGCCTGCCCAGCACTTGGCGCAACAGGTGGCCCAGCCTCAACAACCCGCTTCACAGACCCAACCATCATATCCTCCATACCCACCTCAACCTGTTCCTGCAACATTTCCTGACAGCAGCGTGCCTACGCAGGTCCCACAACCTAATGTGACAGCGATCCGCCCTGAAGTTTTGCCATTCGGTGATGGACGAACAGGAAGCTTAGGATCACAGCCACACCTACACAATATGCAGCAACCGATGCTGTCTCCAGTCAGCCAGAGCTCTTTTGGATCACAGCTCAGCAAGGGTAGTTACATGGGAGGTAGCACGACGCATCCGCCTCCACCTTACAATCTACAGGGTTACAATGCTGCCTCTAGTTATCCACCAAACAACAACTTTCCAGTTGCCAGGAACCAGCAAATACCTCCGAGCAATAGTGCAGCTCTCCCCTATGACTCGAGACTGACGCGCAATCACTCCTACGGAGAGATGATTGAGAAAGCTGTTGGTATGGGATATGATAGGAATCAGATCATCGGTGCTGTTCAGAGGATGGTCGAGAGCGGTCAGCCTATGGATTTTCATTCGCTGCTCGATAGATTGAATGGACAAGCCGCTGCAGCACCTGCACGAGCATGGTGAGACAAACTCACGCTGTGAGTTGCCGACGTTGGCTTTTCATTTGTATCAGATCCTGAGATTGCATGGTGTTCGTAGATAAAAATTGCTACCCATGTGACAAACAGGATCCTTCTGGTAACATTTGTTGTCAGGTGAAAGCTCATTACGACACCACGACGTATCAGACGTCATGGCCGACGAGTACTGTGGAAAACTCGGAATTATATTCTCTCGGTCGCCCGATTTCTCGTGTAGCACAAGTAGATTTGCTTTCTTCTAATAGATTGGTAAATCATGCAATGCTCGGCAGTGATCGTTGTGGTCAATATTGTGGATGGTGGGTTCTAGAAGTACGGTTGTTTTCCTATCCCACTTTGAAGCATAAATGGCAGTGTCCATAGGAAATGCCTCAGATGTCTCAGTTTCGTTAGACAGCAAATGAGTTACTCTTAACACATCCGGCTCGAATCATCCTCCCACCTAGTTGATGCATCGAGACACCTCACCGAGATACAGTAGTTTCGATTTGCCAATCTGTTTCTTTCCCCCTTTTTTTTTTCGAGCATTTATCCTCCCTTTCAGTCTTAATATAGGATCTAGTGTTGAAATTCTCAAATAATGTGCATCAAATGATGTCGCCTAAACAACTTAATAATTGTTTATTGTGTGTGTTCGTACACGTGTATATATATATAT